AATTGAGAGGATTCTGGAATGTATGATTGCGAAAGTCTTCGGTGACTCCTTCAATGTGTTATTGCCCCTAAAAGTCTTTGAATTTTAGAAATAATAAAAAATTTTCAAAACGAGATGGTGTAGAGACATTAACTCAACTGCATAAGATTCATTGACCATTGCGCTTAAAATTAATGTAAAGGTCAAAGTTCAAGGTCATTCCAAAACATAGAAATTTAGCTCCTTTTATATATCTTTTGTCTTTCAACATATGCTTATTGTCTATGCATCATTAATTTGTACTCTTAAAACTGTGTCAAAGATTTCATTCTTGTCCCTTAAGATTGACCCTATTAAAAGTTATTGCCCCTTGTGCGAAAAATTTTTTTTATTGCTATTGCTTCAAAACTGTAAACTGCAAAGACAGGAAACCTTCTCTAATGTTTTCTGGGACTTTAGTGCAAAAGGATATGGTGACTCCTTGAATGAGTTACTGCCCTTAAATGCTTTTCTGCTTACTATTAAACCTTATAACTTTAAAACTATAAGTCATAGAGACATGGGGTTAATTACAATGTGACCCTTGAACTTTGACCTTGAACATGACTTGAAGGTCAAAGGTCAAGGTCACCTAAAAAAAAAATTCATTTTCATTTTTTTTCTTCTTTTAAGCCATTACTGGTTTCTTTTTTATGAAATTTAATTTTAAATAGATAAATATTAAATGAAACTGAAATTCAAAAGGTGGAAAGACCTCTTATTGTTCTGTGAACAATAAGTCTCCTAGTTCAATTCATGGAATCTTCTACAAATACAAATAACGGACAGAATTACACCCTCTACAAAAGCAAAACAATTTCCTTGTCTATGAACATTGGCTCCTTCTATTAAAATGATTCAACGTTAACAACAATTTACATTCTGTAAAGACAAATATGCGCACATATCATATCCAGTAACTATAACTACTCTTTTAAATTTAGTTATGAATTAAAACTGCCAAAGAGAAACAGTCATAACATATTAGTATATGTTACGATGCATTAAACTAATCTGATGAAAATGGTTCTGAAATGTACATGTATAAACACGGACAAACTGGTGCTAATGTGAGGCCACAATGAGGGTACAGAGACCTAAATAAGAATAAGACAGTTACGAATTGACCAGCGAGAACATGAAATATGGAGATTATTTTTTGTGCTTATAAACATGTATAAATGAAAATATTAAATAAAAACTTTTTTAAGTTTGAAGTTTTTAAGTTTTTAAGTGTTGAAATCACAAAGACCTTTTTGGTAAACATATTTCATGAGCGCCAGATAACTCGCACTAATCTTAAAAACATTAATTTTCTTTAATGTTTCCTATCGAAATAAATTATTTTATTTTGCTTTTGTGAAAAACAGATGAAAAGCGAGGAATTTTCAAAGGATATCTTCATTATAGATAGGGATCTGACCTATAGGACCGGGCTTGGTTTTATTCTCTACAAAAAGCTGGTCGATTTCCGTTCCAATTAATGACATTGGGCTGAATACATTTTCCTAAATCTTTATGTCAGTGAGTAGAGGTAGGAGGAACCCTTTCATTAATTTTCTGAGTTTGTTATCTCCAAATGTAATAATTGATATTTGTCTTTAATTCTTTTAAAAGTGCGAAAAGGTAATGTCTACTGTCTCTGAAATTCTATTCTAAATGTCTAGGCTATTTATCCGTTGATATAATAAAACATGTCATTAATGTGTGCAAATTATATACGCCTAAATGAAATCCAAGGGAGTGCATTTTCTATAATATGTAGCCAAAATCAATGTGATTAAATTCTAAGGAATATGTACAATTGAAATTCATCGCAGCTCAATGCTGCCAATAATACCTGTATCGAGTAACACATAGTGAGTTATTCTTGTCCCCGGAGAAAGTGAGCTTATACTGAGGTTCGTTCCACCTCACTGACAACTCCACATTGGATTGTTATGATTTGATATCTCTTTAGTGTTTCTTATATCAAGAATGGGCATGCACAAAGGATAAATAATTGAAGAAAAATACATAAGTCTATAAAAAAAATTAAAATAGTCTTTGAAAAGGCAAAATTTAAAATTTAAAAGTGTTGTACCAGGTGGATTCGAACCCACGACTTTAAAAAAAGAAAGTACCCAAGGTGTAAAAAGTCAGCGTATATATCAACTGAGCTAGTCTGACTATAAGAATGAAAAGCATAATTTAAAGCAGATTATGAAAATCAGGTTTCCTTATTTTTTTGTAGTTTTTTGTGAATTTCGACCCCAGGGCAGGGGTGTCCATAAAAAATCTTATCTTAAATCATTCCTTACATCCTAACCTATCAAAATAACACAATTTTATTTAGCGACATGCCTGCCCTGAAGGACTTCAAGGCCAAAATTCATGCAAAAATCAACGCTTTAACGGACAAAATGGTGTTTCGGTCAACTCGAGCTCTAGAGGTTTATTGTAAAGTTGTAAAGAATAAATTTTAGGTATAAAATACAAATTTGAAAAATTTAGACATATATACGGTAGAAAACAACAAATAAAGATTGATTTTTAAATTTCACTTTTTCCGGGAAATTGTTCTCTCCTATAGGTCAATTCTTTTGTTAAAGTGAATACATCCTTTAAATAGAAGTTAGGGTACCGACGTTTCAATTAATTTTATAATTATGACTGAGTTAATGATAATTAAGTGCGATTAGTTAAAAATATACTTTTAAATATAGCATGCGAGCGATGTCTTCCTTCTCAATTATCTAACAATTTTAGCCTACATTATTTCTCAAAATATTCATCCTCAATATTGTAGTGTTTTTGAAAAAAAAACTTCCTGGCTAATACTTATGTATCTAAAACGTGCTGCGTTATTTTAGATTAAAAACCTTTCTCCCTTTCAAATGTATTATTTTCTAACTCAGCTTCTTTTCTTGATACCTTGTTTCTTTTTTTTTGCCCAATCGCACTGCTGGATACGGTATGTACATGTATATAATTTTCTTCTGTTTAATCTTTCCGTGGAAAAGAATGGAGGACGATTGATAGATTTATAACTATGCAATTTAATCAAGAGTATTCATCTTATTTGATGAACGCTTTATCATTTTTTTGATATACATACACTGTAATTATAGTCTCACAATTACCTTTCTTGTTAATTAAGCGGATTTTTTTTATGTTGCCCGAATTTTCTAAAGTGTTTGGTAATTAAGTCTTTGATTACCTTGTCATTGAGGAAATTACAATAAATTATTCCAGGAAAATTTCGATAATCGTTTTTTCATCTTTCTTTGCGTATCTTGAACTGTCATAATGTGTTAAGAAATATACAGAAAACTTAGTATTGGCAAATATATATACATACATTCCTCTTATTTTTTTATCTTTCAAGAGTACTTAGGAATTTTTCAATGTTTTCCATGTAAAGCGTTGAACTAAAAATAAAAAAAAATAGCATTTGCCACCTTTGTCGACAGTAGAAAAGGTGAATATTTTCCGATCTCAGTTCAAAAAGTAGTCATTTATAATTTTAGGGTAGATGAAAAAAATAAGCTTGACATTCAGAGAATAATATTCAGCAAAATCTCTAGCTGAATTTTTTTAATCAATTCTCTCTATATCGGGTTCAGGGGTCTGTAATTTCTCTTTTATTTATAAATACCAAACACTTTTATTTGTAAATACCAAACAATGTTTTTTAAGTTATCAAAATATTATTTTGAAAAGATATTTTGACCTGTTGAAATATACATTTTGTTCAAAATCCTTAAACTAATGAAACTTTACTTTAATTAACACAAATTGTTTGGACTTATTATCAAATTAATTGTTGATGGCTTTTGTGCAATGAACCCAAAACTTTTCTTTTTTTTTTTTAGAAGAACTAAATTCATCTTAGGTTTGAATATTTTAGATGATTTATCTGCTGGTAAGAATGCTTCCCAGGGTGCTCCCTACAGCAATGTTCAGTTTCACAATTTATTCAAAGCTAGTAATGCTTTAGACAGAAATTATGATTCGTGCACCAAAACTCGTGAAATTGGTCAATCGTCCTTAGGCATGGAAACATGGTGGAACGTAGACCTTGGACAAATCTATAGTGTGTTTAGCATCAGGATTTTATTTAAAGATTATGGTGAAGAATACGGTATGTTTCATTTTTGTATAGATTGTGTTCATTGGTTGGCAATTTAAAAACTGATACAAAATGATAAGTTAAGGGAAGAGCAACATACATGTATAACCATAAGTCTATATGTCAAAACTAGAAGGGCATTAATTTTAAGTGATATACAAGGATAACCTTAATAGCTACAAAAGTTATACTCGCTAGGAATTACTGAGAATGTAGGCAATATTGATACACTTTTCTTTCCTGAGATGAAAAATACTCCAAATTTTAACTGATCCTTTTTCATTTTGTCATCGGAATGACAGTTTAAGTTGAGTTTACATAAAAGTTATGTCCCGATGCACCTAATTTCACCAAGCAATATTTGTTAAGGATCATTATAAAAACTTTTTCCTCAGATTTTATAAATCTAAAGACACCTTTCATTAAGTAGATTTTGACCTTTAATGTAACGTTTCGTGATGTAGTCAATCTATGTAAAACTAGAATTAAAGTCTAATGTTATTATACAATCAAATAACGAGACAGATATTTATTAATAAACCTTTTTCAAGATAAGTTTTTTGGGAAGTACGAAGAGACCAGAATTTTTTTTCTTTACATTTATGCTTTCAATGTTTCAGTGTTGAGACAGAGAAGTCGATTCGCAGGATTTTCTTTGTATCTATCAAACTCCAGCAATAGAAAAGAAGGAAAAAGATGTTACAAAGATGGGCCAGACTTACCTCCCTTAGACTTCGAAACAACCTGTACCGGATATGCTAGATATGTAATTTTTTACAACGAAAGACGTCCCAATGAACCACTTTCTTTCACTGAACTCTGTGAAGTTATAGTGCAAGGTACGTACTCAGTTTCATGAAGCTTAAGGTTAACGAATTATACCTTTTCCATGTTAAATTTAAAACTATTTATTGTATAATTAATCATAACAAAGGATACTATAGTGACCCTCTTTCTTGCAAGTAATTTGCTAAAATGAGCTAAAATGAGCTTAAAACAAAACATGTTTGTAAAACAATGATGCTCCCCTATGGTAGTTTATAGCAAGAGTTGAAGTTTCTCGAATGCACCCACCATCATTAGACAATAGTACCATGATAGTACTTTCTAGGTGTCTCCTTCATAATTGGGTAACCAGGGAAGAAGATATAGTGACTATAATTTACTAAAAAGATTAGTTTTTGAAGCACTGATGTCCCCATGTGACATCTCATGGTGAGGATTGAAGTTTCTCAAATGCACCTCAGACTTAATATACAGTGGACCTTCAGATATCTGGACGCCAGATATCCGGATGCTTCAGTATCCGGACGCTATTTCATCGGAACAGAATTTTAAAATGTTATTATGTCTTGTTTAACTGGTGATTCAGGTATCCGGACGCTTCACATATCCGGACAAATTGACTGGGAACCAAAGCGTCCGCATAAATGAGGCTCCACTGTATCAATGTAAAAATTGTTGGTTTTCAAAGGAAGATTATATTTCACGGCATATTCCCATTAGAATATAAAAGCCCGAGTACTATCTTGATGGCGAAAGCTTTATTTTGAATTCTTAAATGAACATGTGTCCATGAACCTCGTAAATATACTACATGTACAATCATAACAAGTTGTTTAAAGAATGGAATTTTGTTTAAAAAGAGAGTTTTGAAAGAAGAGTTTCGTATTAATTTTCTTGAAACATTAATACCCCTGTATGACATCTCGTCGTGAAGGGTAGGTTTCTAAGATCAATCTCCATTCTCATCAAACTTCAAGGTCAGGAGATCACAAATGTTGGTACCAAAAAAAGGTCTTATCGCAAGAAATACATACCCTAACGATCCATTCGAAAGTTATATTTAAGGGTAAAGTTTTTCTTCAGAAGTAGGACAAATTCAAAGTTATTAGGGAAAGTCTGTCGAAAGGAATACATTTGCGATATAATAAAGCCCTAGCACAGATCATTTAAGCTATGATATGATAACGTTTTCAAAAGGAAGTAAAATTAGAAGGTCATGGTCTAAATTTATGGTACCTAAAGCAAGATATTGTCAAAAGAAATAATCATGAGAAATGTGAAAGTCCTCTTACAAAACTTCAAAAGTTATGCACAGCAAATGGGTATTACTTTCAAACCTTAAAGTGGATGAAACACAAAGGTCACGGACAATGGTAAAATTTTAACTTCTTAGCAGAAGATATATTTTTCTTTATATAAAATCACTAGCTCAAGACATTCAAAACGTGTTGCGAAGATAAGTTTAGACTTCTTTGTACCCGAGTAGGGGGTCAATTAAAAAAAAATCAATTTCGACCACCAATTGACACTTAAGCTGAAATTGTAAATTCAGAAAAAAAAGCCTTGTTATATACCCATAGAACACCAGAAATCATTTTCCCAAAGACAATTCGAATTAAGCGCACATTGTAAGTGTAAACGCTTGGAAAAATCGTACTTTTATGACCCCGATTTGACCCGTAGGGTGAGAATGAAAATTTTAAAACCATAATGCAAATCTACAGTACACAACAATTCATCTACGTAGATATCTAAACTATGATTCGGTTATACTCCTCACCTTGTAAAAAGAGTTCAGGCTAGGGAACAAGGATGTTTTCACTAAAAAAAACACACACTATTTTCTCATTCTAATTGACTCCAACGGTGAAATTTAAACAAAAAAATTCTTAACCTCCAGTCCTCTTCAGGACACAACCATTATCTTCGAAAAGTTTATTTGTTCACTAATAAAATTATGTGTAAGAGAATCTCTGGGAACCAGGTTTTAAAAGAAAAAAAAAGCTATTTTTTACTCCCTTTTGGTAAACTGAAAATCCAAAAACTTTATAAGTTATCCAGGTTCAATCATGGGTGTACGGGGATTTACCCCGGGTTTTATTCCATACACCCTGAGGCCGAAGGGTGTATGGAATACAACGCGGGGTAAATCCCCGTACACCCTTGATTGGACCTGGATAACGAATTTATTTCCTTTGTACCCATAAAAATGCTTTGTAAACATCAGAGTGTGTCTCAATCTATCGATTAAATAACTACGTACTAGAATTCATCGTGACGTCACGTTATTTGGTTTTTATCATAGAGAATGTATGCATTGTGACGTCATGTTTTATTTACACCCGGCTCAAGTCGGGTGCACGGATATTTACACCCGACTTTGTAACCAATCAAAGCTCATGTTACAAGCTAGATAGGAAATAATGATTCATATTTACAGGACACCATCTTGTATATTCCAGAAGAATAATAGTTTACTGCTTAAAATAAAAGAGGAGTTTGATGAAGAAGAACGTGTGACAGACGGACTGGTGTTACATCAATATTCCAAAACCTTCTTTATATTGAGTGATTGTTTTTGAAAATGTTCCACTCATACAGGGATATTACGATATGGCTTTAAAGTTGGGCCTTTAAGTCAATACTTTCCGTTCAGCAGCAGAAATTTATGGTGTTTCAATTCATTTCCGATACTATTGTTTATTTACTTTTCTCTTGGAAGTTAAACGTAAGATGTCTTGTTTTTTGTAGGGTGTTATCTTGATGGTGTTTATGGAGAAAGATGCGATAAAAAATGTCCGGAGTCTTGTCATGAAGATAAATGCGAAATCGTTACTGGGGCATGTTTTGCATGCAAACGAGGTTTGCAAGGGGAAAAGTGTCGAAAACGTAAGGGTACTAAATTGAATATATACTCATACATATAAGTTTTTAAAGATTAGATTTATAGTACAATTGAAAATTTTATTTCTGAAGAGAAATGAACATTTATGATCATTACAAGTACATGTACAATGTATAAATTATGAAACTGAAGACGTCTGTAAAATGCCATGACAGTTTAATAGAGAAATAGGACAGGAATATATAAATATTTATATGTTTATTGCATAAAAATAGGGAGGTGTACGCGTTACATAATCTATGACAAAAATGAACTTGACTTCTTTGTACTTGGTTTTTATTTTAAGCCTGTGATTCCGGTTATTATGGGGAATTCTGCTCAAGTAAATGCTCGTCCAAATGCATTAATAATTGTGACCACCTTGATGGAACCTGTATTTGTTCACATGGACTACGGGGATCCCCAAATTGTACAAAAGGTATGATACATGTACAAATAAAAACACACTAAAGAAATACTACCAACCAGACGACTTATCCTGACAGAAAGTAGTCAATGAGTAGTTCTTAGGACTACTTAACATGATTTTTCATTAGGAGGAGGAAATAAGTATTTAGTATAACATAGATGTTCTATGACTATACTATAATGTTATGGCATAATGTAATTGCATATAGTTATCCTCATCAAGACAACCAATAAACGTTTCAGCGAAGTCCGTCTGTATCACTCATCTGATTCACTGGTATAATTTCACAATTCATTTTAAAAAATTATTAATTTGGTACTACAAAATTAATCATTAAAATGTTTCTGTTTAACGTCAAAGTGATTTATCTTATTTTGGAATTATTCTTTATGAAGATATACTGTAAACGTGGTTATATTGACGAGTTGAAAAATTGACGATTTTTTGTTTACGAAAATTGACGAGTGTTGATTTTGACGAAATATTTAATCAAGAGTTATATGTATACATGTATCTTTAAATTCACGGAGATACAAAGGCAGCGTCGGAATCACTACCGGAAAACTTAAAAATTACTAGTATCTACAGAGTGAAAGATTGTACAAACTACCTTATTCTAAGCGTGTAAGATTTGATTAAATAAATTGCCTTGTAATTTGTTTTCATTATAAGCGGTCAGTTGCCTGAGGTGACAAACTAGGTCAAGCTCGGCGTGATAATTACGCATGCAGTATTTGATACACTAGTTTAGATTCAATTGTTTTAAATAATTTTATTATATATCACTGCGTTTTTATAACTAATTACAAAAGAAATTAACAGTAACTTTAATCTAGTTTTAAAAGGGGAAACCCGAAGAAATTAAATTAAGCGGTAATGTTGTACAATGGTCAATGTCTGTTGTGACGCTATATAATATGATGAGAAGTTTGACGAGTGTAAATTTTGACGAGAAAAGAAAAATCGTCATTATAGTCAAAATTAGCACACCGTCAAAATTTCCACGTTTACAGTACCCTTCTAAAGTACAAAAAGAATACGGCATGCAATATGCTTTCGTCTTGAATCTGTACATGTAACTGTCAAAAAGTAATTCGACAAGTTGTTATTTTTCTAGAGCAGTCTCAAAGAGTTCACGCTTCAGTCCCAAATTATATACAGAAACCATTGCAATCGTAATGAAAGGGAGTGCATAATTGAAATTAATTGTCAAGTTGGTATTTTTATTCTCGATTAGGTTAACATCAGATTAAGGTTGATCAAGTATTTAAAACCCATGAATGTCATGTAAACTTTTGTAATAGTAGTTTTATATTTTATCAGGCTGTCCTACCGGGTTCTATGGACCGAACTGTGGCCATATTTGTAGTCAACACTGTAAACTTAACAGCTCATGTGACAGCATTAATGGTACCTGCCCACTTGGATGCAAAGACTCATATTGGGGTTTAAAATGTGATGTTCCAAGTAAGATAGTTATTTTCGTAACATCAAAATAATTGATTTTGTTGTGAAATGACAATGAATAGAATTTATGCAAAAGATGCCCCCATTAATTATAAATAAAAAAAACCAGAACACCATACCTTAAATTCTACATGCTGTAAGAAATTGATGTTATAACTTGATTATCAAAATCAAATATTTTAAAGAATTTAAGAAAAATGCAGTTTTGTGGATTTAAATTCTTGATTAGTACATTGTTGTAAATATAAGAATGCAAGTAGAATACTTTTCATGTGTTTACGACTTTGATTTCGTTTGTCTTTAAAAAATGATTACAAGGAAAATGCAATCCGAAAAAGTAATGATTTGCACTCAAAGAAGACAATTTGGAGCGGTACCTTAATTACATTGGAAAGGAAACGTGAATTTGGTTACTTTGCTGTTAGAATACACCCCCCCCCCCCCCAAAAAAAAAAAAAGAAATTCACAAATACAATACATGAAATAAGAAAAACAAATAAGAACACGATGAAATAAAGAAACTTCTTGTAAAAGTACTGTCAAATAAAATATTACATACCGTAAAATCACTAATTTTCGGTGGTGCTTGATTTCTGTTGTTTTCAAGGTATGGAGAGATCATCAAATTCATGACTACTACAACATTTAAAATACTAAGCATTACTACTCAACACTTCTCAAACAACGAAATAAAATCCCCATATATCATTATTTTTTCTCAAACTTTGAATATTTGATCCCACGAAAATATGTGATTTTTCAGTATATTCGTACATACATTTTTATGATTATAAGGGTTGTTAAGAAAGTTCGTTCCATGGTTAAGTATATTTGAAAGTGTCAAAGTTAGTTCTCACTACAGAGATGATTTTTTTAAGTTTGACAAATTCAGATAATTGTGCTCTAGGTTTTCAGCAATTTATTTTTGGCAGGAAGTTAATGGGTTTTACTTTCATATGAAAATACACATAAACATCTTTAAAGCACCCAAATGACAGAAATGCTGGTCATTTAGTGTGAAAATATGGGATTATTCACTTTTGTTTCTTCACAGCTTATATTGCATCGTACAAAACTGATGAGCTTAGATATACATGAAGTAAGTTAATCACTTTTCAAAATAATAGGTTCATCATATTAAAATGTTTCACCGACTTGATAAATTTTGCATAGTATTCGAAAGGATCTATGGAACTGTGTTCCTAATACATGTATAATTGTATAATGAACTTTCTGAACACACTCTATATCTTTTTATCCATATGTTAATACAATGTATATGGATAAAAATGGAATAAAAAAAATTCCGGAGTACGTTGAGTATTGTAATTTTTTTTTTTTAAACGGGACTTATCTTTTTCAAATTCGATCTCTAGAACATTTATTGAAATAATCGTGATATTTTTTTTCATTGTTTTTCGTTTTTTTCTTTATGTTGATATCAAAATAATTAGGCCATAGTATTTAAATTGTGCTGATTGTCATTATTTAAATACACATTCTAAATGAAAACATTTGCTTCCGACGCGCTTTTCAACGCTTGAATCAACTGGAACTGTGACGTCAACTATAAAAGCAGGAATGACAGTAGCTCATGGCAGGTGCGATGACCTCTGGTCTGAATCTTATCCATGGATATTGTAAGGTTTGAATGCTGTGAAAATTCTTAAATTGTTTTAAGACTTTACTCGTTGTTTCAACATGATTGTTCAAGGCAATAGTTTAATGATGTACAAATGCCTAATTTGGATGAATTTTAGGAGTTTTATAAGAAAGATTGCTGTAATGTCACGTTTTTTTTTATTTCAGTATACTGCAGTTCATAACAATCAACACAAATTCTTAATAAATCTTAAGTACTTTGAGGTCCTGATATACACATAACGAATGTAAGGAATTTTAAAATTTTATAAATAATTTTATATGCTTATTTTAAATAATAATAATGATATTGCATTGTAGTTATGAATTACTAAAAATTCCTTATTTTTTGCCAGTAGTTTTTATAATTTCTGGCGTATAATTAGGAATATACAGTACCAGGAATCTTAATGGATTAATATTTTTAAGTCACAACTCTATCGGTACTGTCGACCTCATACGACAAGATGCCATCACCTTCTCTTTCTTGTCTCAAAAAAGAGTTTTGGAATTAAACTTGTATGGCATATTTGATACAACAATACAGGAAATTTCAATGATTAAAAATTAATAAATTTTGAAAGCAAAAAATCTTTAATACAATTGCAACACATTTTCTACAATACACAAGGTAAATTTATGATGCCCTCCAGTTATATTTTGATTTCAATAGGAGAATAATTATTGTCAAAAGAAAAAAAGATCTTTAATTTCTATAAATATTCCAAAAAGAGCAAAATATACGAGGGTTGATCCAAAAGTTCGTGGAATTTCTTCATATTTTATTTATTTTTTACGTGGAATTAGCTGAAAATTACAAATGAAAATATAGACACTTGAAGAATATTTTAAACTAAAAAGCATTTTAAATATCTTTGATAGTAACTTTATGGCAGTTGCCATAGAAACGGTTGTTTGGAAATGCGGGGGAGACAATAACGTGTTTATTATCATTTTAATTCTTAATACGTGAAATCAGAATTAAACAGCGCTATGTGGTATATGAAACGAAAATTATGTCATTATTATGATTGTTTGATCTTTTATAAACATTTGTGTGAGAGTTTAACTGATTTTACTGGATATTTTGTTTATAAGTTGATGGTTTATTGTTCATCTTTAAGTTGTTAGACAACGTCAAAGTTCGGTCAAGGCATCCTTTTCGTGAAAATCACGGGATCACTCTATCTTAAATACGTATATTATTGACATAGACTTGGGAGAAATGCATTTAGTTACTGGTTTTCAAGTGGCGTAAGAAATTCAAGGAAAATAAAACTTTCAAGGAAGTTGATTAAAGGTGTGTTCGCTTTTTTGAGACTCTGTTTTAAGTGTTTATCTTCCTAGACAAATTAAAAGCTTTAATGGACGTTGTCGGCTGCCCTACTGTTCTTGACATTGCTACTGAAATTGGAATATCATAGGGAAAGATGGCTAGTTTTTTGACATTATGTGTAAAAAATGAAGATAAGTTGGTGCGACAGGATACCCAGGCTTTTCTCGAGAAAAAATGGAGAGAAGGGCAGCATTTGGTATTTTACCACTATTCGAATTGGACATAAGCGAAATGCTTCTATAACGTGTCGTGACATATCTCACTTGACGTTACGTCGAAGTCTCCCCCGGGTTTCACAACTATCCATTTTCAGACAGGTCGTTTGATATTATTGGTAATTGGAAAGTGGTGAAATTTTCCAGTTTTGCTGCATTATGCCTCTATATTATGAATATTCCTGTTGTTTGCTTTCATTAAATTACGCTAAAATTTTAGAAAGAAATTCCACGAACTTTTGGATCAACCCTCGTAAACCCTTCTGAAGCACAAGCGTCTTAATATGAGTTCAAAAATCTCGAGAGAGATGTTAGAAAACATATTTATAATCATTCAAATAAACTGAAGTACAAAATAAAAAAAAAGATCTGGAGTATACTTCCATATGGAATCTGTACCAACTTTAATTGTCGTTTTTACATGTACATGTACATGTTCTATGTAAATAGGAATGTTGTTTTGTAAAAAAAAATGTAGTTTATATTATAGAAAAGCGAAATATAAGTAGCTCTATGATCACGTATCACTACTAATTTGCCCGACTCGCATAGTTGAATATCAAAAGAAAAAACATTTGATCAACCAGCGTGCACGTCGTGTTCGTAGTTCTCATACGTTCATATGTATTGTTAATTATGTTGTGTGTTATGATTTTTCCACAGATAATGTGTGTTTGTGGAGCAGTTAAGAGATCAACATTTAATGTCTATAACAGCTATAGCTGTGATGTATAATTAATATAATTATATCGTATTGGATTTCTCATCTACTTTATCAATACACCTTAAGGTTTGGTCTAAAAATGCCATCGGAGTTCAGCGGACGATATACACAACATAAAAGATAGTTAAAGGTATAATTATCAATTTCAATAGAAAATCATTCTTTAAACACAATTTTTAACAACTAACGAGGTTCTCACCATAAATGTTTCCAACTGATAATCATAATTGATATCTGTGCCAGATTTCAAAGATTTTTATTTTTGTTCATTATTGTACTTTGAATATGTATAGTTTAATGATAACTTTTCTCTTTCTAAGACTTCAGAGAAACTTGAACCAAATTACATGTAATAGAGAAAGAAATAAAAATTGTTACACGAAAAGATGTCAGTTTCAAGACTAAATTTGATACTTAATGAAACAATAAAATTAATTTTTATCGTTCCCGACTGACGCGCGATTCACCAAAAAATTCAATTTTCAAATCTTCTTTCTTTTGTTTATTAGATTTTGAAATAGACATGCGGTCTTTTTGTGGAACACTGATCAACTATTATGTGAAAGAATTTTTTCGTGACTTGCTGGTACATGTAGATTTCTTTTGTAACACTTTGTACTAGCTAGGTTTGTAGAAAAAACACTGACGAACTAACCTGAAAATAACCTATAATTGACATTGACATATAGTAATTTTTCATATCACATGTTTTATACTTTTAAATTAAGGCAATCATTAACCCTTTTTTTACAAACATGTATCAGAAACAAAATACGTTTAATCTCTGTGTAATCAAATAAAACAGATCAAATGAAAGTGTTTTGCCTAGATACCCTTTGTAATGCACTTATAAACTGGAACATTTAACAACAGACATATATAGGTTCAAAAGGCTGAGTAATGTAGAAGGTCATTTATTACATTCTTAATGATCATGGACCCTTGCATTAATAAGAACCGATGGATTACCGTTCTGAACTTTCTTCTCTTGATGAATTGTAAGTAATTCTAAATCTTTAATTTCACCAAAACTTAAATAGATGAGAATTCATTTTATCTTATCATGTGCTCTTTTAAAATTTCTTTTTAAATTTAAAAGAAAATTTGATTTTCCAAAATATATATCTACATGTTTATATATATTTTATTAGTTTTGAACCC